GACCCTCTGTTGTGATCCCAGTCAGAGCAGTCAGTGGTGGTAGCCGGGCACCATCTAGCTGTACTGGACTCAGTCTGGTGGAGGCCATGGTAGCTGTGGTCCATTAGTCCTTTGGACTAATCTTTTCCTTATATCCTATTCTCTTCATTCTCCCTTGCTCCTGAAGGGATGAGACCAGTGGAGTATCTTAGATGGCTGTTCACAGGCCTTTAAGACCCCAGATGCTACTCACCAAGGAAGAATGTAGAACATTGTCTTTATAAACTGTGTTATGCCAGTTGAGCTAGATGTTCCCCGAGATCATGAGAGTACCCTAATTCTATGTGCTTCATGCCACTAGGTATTTCCACTGGGCCACACTAGAGTTCCTGGATCATAGTGGGTACACATCTGTATATGTTTAATGAATGAAATAAATGATGCATAACAATTGGCTCCATGACAGCAGCATATGGTTATGAAGGTTGTACACTGCACAACCCTTAGGGGTACCATTCACAGAGACCAGGATGCATACAACCTGCCCAAGCAAGCCTAGGCAGTACTTGAGAAGTTTCCTCTAGGGCGTGGGGCTCATGGGCCAAGTGTGGCTCAGGCCTGTTTTTGCAAATAAAGTTTTAATGGAACATAGGCATGCCCATGTGTTTATGTATTGTCTATGACTGCTTTCATGCTACCATGGACGACCTTGCCACCAGAAGAGATGGATGGCCCTCAAAGCCTAAAATATTTACTTTCTGGCCCTTCAGGAAAAAGTTTGCTAACTAACCCCTAAGGAGTCTTCTTCCAGTTGAAAAAAAAAAAACAGCTCTCATCTAGTATTTAAATTTCTTCTACTAATTTTTAAGTACAAAAAATGTTTTCTTATGCTTTTTTTTTTTTTTCTTTTCCGTTTCAAAGTTATCTTACTCTTTTTCAGTGATGCCTGAAAATTCAAACTTTCCTTATCGGCGGTATGATCGGCTCCCTCCAATCCATCAATTCTCCATAGAAAGTGACACGGATCTCTCTGAGACTGCAGAGTTAATTGAGGAATATGAGGTCTTTGATCCTACTAGACCTCGTCCAAAAATTATTCTCGTCATAGGTATGAGAACAGAAAGCAAAATTCTCACATAATTGATAACTTTGTTTATATATTTACATTTCAAAAATATGTCATTAATGTATCTTTTTGAAAATATTTACTTGGATAATAACAAGCAAGAGAAGCAAAAACAAAAGAGACAGTGGGTAGAAATATTTTTAGCACGATTTTCAAGAAAACAAAGAAATTGTTGTAATCATATAATCTAATGCTTGTTGCATTTTTATAGAATGTCATAATGTCATGGAAGTTCTTTATAATGAATTGAAAGTAATTATCTTGTCAAGATTTATTGTCCTATGATTTTATTTATTTAATATTTAACATAGATAGTGGGGTCCATTGTAAGTTTTCTAAACATGATTTGTTTTCCCTTTTACTCAACAAATTGAATTTTTATTCACTATTCACTTTGGAGGGAAAAATAAATAATAATATGCTGGTTAAGACTCATCTAAATGAATCTTCTTTATGGCAAAGTAGCACCTATAATAAAATTTAAGTTTCAGTGTTACAAGACAAGCAAATCTAATAGAATTGTGTTTTATACAGCAGCATGGAACATCTGAGTATTAATCAAAATAAATAATGATAATAGCTACTTTTTCAAATTGCCGCTGTGAGTCTTATGTTGAATGTGAAAATATCAGTCTGATGGCATTTAACAAGGAATAGATACTGAAAATGTTTTAAATATTTTTGTAAAATGCATTCTTGACTATTCTCGTACATTCTAACTTTCTCAAAATCTATAAAGATCATGGAGAAACCTGTGAACAGGCAACATATGCAGTCATTACTCACTTCCCAGTCTGATTCAGCTTGCACAGAGATGACCAAAGCAAAAAATCTAGCGTGAAATGTTCAAAGCTATTCTAGTCAGTAACAAGGCATACAGCCCCCATGCGGAGAAGTAGTGCTCCGGTAGGGCTTAGTGATGACGGCAACTAAGAAAAAAAAATGCAGATAAACACACTGAGCTATAACAAGAATTTCAGCTCACTAGAGTAGAAGTGACATTTGCACATTTCAGAGTGTAATGAAACATGAAATTGCAAATACATTTAGCCCTGAATTGTTAAAAACAATACTGTAGAGAAAGAGTGTAGAAATCTGCTTTCTAAAAGTCAAAATATTTCTGTGGCTTAATGCAATCACTATTATGCCATGAATCTCTACTCTTGAAAATGGAACATTTTTTCATGTTTAAAAATTTGGGACCCTTACCTATAAGACCAGGAAATACTTTATTAAATGATAGAACTACAGATGAAGAATAGTTAGAAAATATTTCACTATTTTATGGTTTAGATGTGGACAGAACACATTCTTTCCATTTTGTTTTTCTTGCAGCTGTTAGTAAAGTATCAGTGATTATTCGCATGATAAACAAATGAAAGGTTGATTGTTCACAAAATGATGTAATACCAAATTGCTCTCGTGAAAAACAGCACATATTTTCTGTGCATTGTGAATTTTATATAAAGATGATTAAAATAGTTCAATAAAGAAAGACCTTTGGAGAAATTCTAAATTTTAAAATCTTTCCCACGTCACAGTTTTTTTGTTTTTTTAAATTTAGTAAAATCACCTTGCTTTTTAAGGGTGTGACTCTGATTATAGGCTTCCAGGTTGTACTGTAGCATTTTATGTGTTGCAAGGATGATGCAGAAATAATGAGTGTAAATCACTTTTTGATGACTGAGATAAGGAAAGAAAGGAAAAGCCCGACCATAGGTTGTCTGAGAAAATTTAGGCGATCTTCTGACTTCTGATGAATTATAAAATAACTGCACATGAACCCTACAAATTTTTATTAGTTCCAACCTGAAAAAAGGGGTGGAGGAGGTAAGGATGCCCATGTGGTATTATATCTAAATAGAGAAATTTTCATTTCAGGCACTGTGGAATTTTTTAGAAGCTTGGCACAGATGTGAATCTCTGCTATGATGACATACTCATAGAATCTTAGAGTTAGATGGATCCTAGTATTTATGAGCATTAGAAATAAACAAATAGAACAAAATTAAGCCAATTCTGCCTTCAGAGAGAAGAAAGTAAAATTAATTTGTTAGGAAGCATAAGTAATCAAACTCATCCAATAAGTTAACGCTATTCTCTGCAAATTATGCTAATCGTGTTTTTTGTTGTCTGCTATTGCCTCCTTTAGTTGATGAAAAACAGGTAAACAGTTTTACTTTGAAGGTGCCCTAACTTTGAATTTTTCAAAATTCAGTGTAATTTGTAATTGATGGTTTGTGAGATCGAGTTTGCAAATCCAGTTTCTGAAAGATCATTTTGATTCTTTAGGGGTCTGTTTCAATTTTTTGACGGAGTTGGTCATATAATTTCTTTTACTGAAGCCAATATGCTAATAGGCCAAAAGCAAGTATTTAGAACCAAAACTTACTTTTGATTTGCAAATAAAATAATTTAATTTAGTAGAGGTAGTTCATAATGTTACATCTGATAGGATAGGATTTAGAGTCCCTTAGAAAGAGAATGATCAAAAATGTAAACAAATCCTGTCTTAAATTTAGTAAAGCAGTGTAAACGTGAAACAAAACAAACCAAACCAAATCAGTTGCCATCGAGTCGATTCCAACTCATAGTGACCCTATAGAAAGCTAGATATTATTAGGTGCATTGTTTGGGAGTCAGAGGTAAAAAATGGCTCTCATTCTCTTAGAATCCTTCACATTAAAATTTCTAAAGATGAAATAAGCCCTGGCCAATCAAGTCTATCCATTCAGAACTCTTTTCACAAAAAGGAGGAAAAGGGAGAGGATATGGGAGAAGGAAAAAGAAAGAGAAGAAGGAAAGAACAGGAAGAGGAGAAAAACTTTGGTTACTATCAGAATAAATAACCCATTTCTCTTCTATTTATATTTGCAGCAAAAATAAAACATTTATTAAACAATTATATATAAAATGACTTCAATATACAAGAAACTTGGTATGTTCAATTTGTAGTGAGAACATCAACTCATTTTACTATTGAATTTTTAGTATTGCTCAATAAATTTTAATTGTCAGTGAATATTATCAAAACATTTCAAAGCTTATTAGATATTGACTTTTTAAAATGTTTTGCCTACATTCAATAATTTATGCTTAAGTACTTGAAAATATTTCATTTTGGTAATTGCCATCACATCACTACACATGGGCTGATTATTATGTGCTTTATTTTGAAATTTATTCTGTCTCTAAATTCCAGTTAGTCTAGGTTGTTCAGAAATATAAATTTAACCAGAAAATTAATCTAATGTGATTTGGAAATAAATTGAGGCATATGTATTAATATTTATGATTATTTTACTTTTTTCTTTTTTTTTAAAGGCAATTACCAATGATTGAGGCATTGGTGGTTCAGTGGTAGAATTCTTGCCTTCCATGCAGGAATCCCGGTTTGATTCCCAGCTAATTCACCTCATGCGCAGCCACCACACATCTGTCAGTGGAGGCTTGCCTGCTGCTATAATGCTAAGTAGGTTCCAGTGAGCTTTCAGACTAAGGCAGAGTAAGAAAGTCCTGGCAATTTACTTCTGAAAATCCAACAAAAGCCCTATGGAACACAACGGTTTAATCTGCAGCTGATCATGGGGATGGCCCAGAACTGGGTAGTGTTTCATTTGTGGGGGTCCATATGTGTAGGGTCACCATGAGTCAGGGGCTGACTAGAAGGCAGCTAACAACAGCAACAGCAACCAATGATTAGTAATTAGTTAAGCTGCAGAATTTTGATTATTTAATACTAATGAGCTCAAAGTCATCTTGAGTTCTACGAAATTGTTTTACTTAAAGGCCTCTTCAATTTCTTCTGCATGCTCATAGTATAAAACTTCTTTTGAATTTTAAGGAGGTAAGGCAAGAGATTTAAATAAGCTATGTCGATATTGGTGAGCCTTTGGTTTAAAAATAATTGTTATATTTCACCAAATTGCACATTAACTCTTTCTTGGCATAGGACACATTTTTGTTATTTCAATAATTTTTTTTTTATATCCCATAGATTTTTCTTTGATCACAGAGGAAAAAACTATTAGACTTTACATAGAAAAAAACAGTAGAGATTTCTTTCAACTGCATCGTTTGAAATTTCAAAAAAATGTTAGTTATTTACTAACATACATATAGGAAAAAATGTCTCTTTCATCTAATACGGTTGATCAAGACTGTTCTGCCCTTTCCTTGGCAAAGTCTAGACTTGTTCCGCATTCAGAGATAGCACTGACCAGTAAAAACCAGTTGCCATTAGGTCAACTCTGACTCATGGTGACCCCATGTGTGTCAGAGTAGAACTGGGCTCCACAGGGATTTCAGTGGCTGATTTTTCAGAAGTACATCACCAGGTCTTTCTTCTGAGATGTCTTTGGGTGCGCTCAAACCACCAACCTTTTGATTAGTATCTGAGCACGGTAACGTTTGCACTACCCAGGGACTCCCAGATAGCACTGAGAATGCCACCGACAAAACAGTTACCCACCCTGGTACTGGTGGCCCAGAATCTGTCTCAAGACAAAGGTATCAGTGCCATTGAGTCAAATCCAACTCATGGTGACTCCATGTGTGTCAGAGTAAAACTGTGCTTCCCAGGTTTTCAATGACTGATTTTTCAGAAGTAGATTGCCAGGCCTTTCTTTTGAGGTGCCTCTGGGTGGACTTGAACTTTTAACCTTTTGGTTAGCAGCCACGTGCATTAACTCTTCATACCACCCAGGGACTCCAAGATGAAGGTAGTAGTTGTATAAAAGAGATTTTTTTAAATTGTGTCAGAAGGTCATCATTTTCCTGTTTTAATAATAGGTGGCCCAGGAAGTGGAAAGGGTACTCAAAGTTTAAAAATTGCAGAACGTTATGGATTCCAGTACATTTCAGTGGGAGAATTATTAAGAAAGAAGATCCACAGTACCAGCAGCAATAGGAAATGGAGTCTTATCGCCAAAATAATTACAACCGGAGAATTGGCCCCACAGGTACTGCTGTCTAAGTTGCTTTTATTCTTCAAAGATTTTTATACCAGTTCTAAGCAAACTAGGCTTAACTGTGGTCTTTTGCATCTTTTCTCTTTATAAAAGGAAACAACAATTACAGAAATAAAACAGAAATTGATGCAAATGCCTGACGAAGAGGGCATTGTTATTGATGGATTTCCAAGAGATGTTGCTCAGGCTCTATCTTTTGAGGACCAAGTAAGAATGTCTCATTATATTTTAAATGACCTGATTTTCACTTAAACCTTTTAGATTAAAAAAACAAAAGAAAATTTCTTGGAAGACTTACTGTTATTTCTCATGAATGCTGTTCTGAAAACATAGTAAGTTACGTTAGTATGAGTTGGCAGATCATATCCTTGCCACGTGTGTAAAAATTAAAGACAAACTCTGCCAAAAAGAAAAGATAAAAACAAAAAATAGAATTCATTAGTTTTATTAAAAAGGCAAATCTCTCTTTATTTTAAAATACTTTCTCGAAGATTGTTTTTGATCTTTAATTGCTGAAAACAAGCTTTATTCAGTACCTTCCAGGGATGTAAAATGTCACCCTGTACTTACCTGCCAATTAAGGAAGCCCCCTCTTCACTGGGTTGTGAAATACTAAACAGCCAAGTATATTAAAGGAAAGTTCAGGTTGCCAAAATTTGCTCAAACCTGAGAAGACAATGCATGCTGAACAACCAACACGTCTGTTTTAAAGAGAAACAAAGCAATTAAAATATTTTGTAGTGTCTAGTTAATCTTTAAAAAGCTAGTGTAACTGATTTTTTCATTTGAAACTTTCAATTACAAAAGTAATATATGGTCACAAAAATTATACCTCTCCCTTCTCCTAAGAAATAGAAATACTGTTAAGTTTGTTATGTATTCTTCCAGACCTTTTTCTATACATTACATACACACACATGCATGAACATACACATATACATGCATTTTGAATTTTCATAGTTCTTTCCAAACTGTCCTTCAAAAAGATTTTTTCCAAGTTACACTCCCATCAGTGTTGAATAAGAATGCTTTTTTTTTTCCATATCCTTTCCAACCACATATAAAATTCATACTGAAAAATTTTGCCAACCTGATAAGTGGAAAATCATATTCCCTTTATTATAATTACATTTCTTGGATTATTACTAGAATTAAGTATATTTTCATATGTTTATTGACCATTTCTATTTCTTCCTTTTGTGAATTGCCTGCTCTGCTTTGCCTACTTTTCTGTAGACTTGTTAATCTTTTTCTTATTTATTGGAAGGAGCTTTTAACTTGTAACAGATATTGTATCAAATGGGATTAGGTCAAATAAAATGTAAGTTTTTGTCTCATACAAAAGAAGCCTGAAGTAGAGCAGTTTGGGCCAGAAGGTAGCTTCATAAAGCATCTCAATGAGTATTCAAATTAACTGTACACCTGGGCCCAGGTATACTGAAGGCTCCGGATGTAATTTCTCCATCAAATACGCAGCACTGTTAGAACTGAGCTGCACTGTTCCATCAATTTCAAGGGACTTAGAAAAGTTAACAAGGGTGTGTCTGCTCTTCTGCCCACCACAGTTTGTTGGCTTTGTAATAACAAGATCATTTTGGTTATTGATCTTGAGCTCTCAGAGCAGATACTGGGGTACTTTCCAGAAAGGCATTCCTTACAAGATGCCCAGATGGATTGTATTTAACTCTTGGTACATGTAGCCTGTGGACAGCCTCCCCTCTCCCAGGGTATATAAGAGCAAAGGGGCACTGGTCAGTGGATGACTCCACAGAAGTGACGCCCACCCCACCCCACCCCCGCCCCAACAGAAGGGGTAGCACTCTCCTCGGCAGTCTCCTGTTGGCTAGAGGGCCTGCTTCCCACAGGCGTTGCAAGTGCCATGGCCTGGGGCTGGCTCTGCGCACTCAGGAAAAGTCTGCAGACCCCCAGCCCTCTGCAATAATTCACCAGACCAGAAGCCACTGATGTACAGAGAACACTTAACAAAAATATGTTTTATGTGAAAAAAAATTAAAACTCTATACTGTATCAGCAACTTTGTGTTAAAATGGCAATCAAGAGAGTCTAATATATTTAAAACTTAAAAAAAAAATCCTCGTGGATCTTTGATATTGTGTTGAGGTAACTTCCAGGTAGCTCCTCATCATGTGGCACTGATGGGCCTTGTGTCCAAGACCATGTCCCAAAGGGGATTGTCTCGGAGTTGCTTCCAGCAGCCAAGGACTGTGATAGAATTTGCTGTTAAGAATTTTTAATTAAGATTATTAAATTCCTTTTAATAACAACAACAACAAAAGCCAGCAAACTGTGGTGGGCAGAAGAGCAGACACACCCTTGTTAACTTTTCTAAGTCCCTTGAAATTGATGGAACAGTGCAGCTCAGTTCTAAGAGTACTGTGTATTTGATGGAGAATTACATTCAGAGCTTTCGGTACACCTGGGCCCAGGTGTACGGTTAATTTGAATACATGTTCTGGGATGTCTTTCAACCTTCCTCAGGGTTCCGCCTTTCATGGTATGTCCAGAACCCCTAGTGCTTACTCATTTTAAAGGCTTGATTCTAATTGCTCTGAGCTTGAAGAAAGAAAAACTAGAAAAATCTGATCAATTTCATGCTTTTGCTGTTGCTGCCACATGATATTTGTTGTTGAAAATGAGTGCTATGGGCAATTCCATGTAATTCCATGTAATTCTTGGCATAATAGCCAGGCAGGCAAACATTGCCACCCATACCTGGTCCACTCCACTTATAGAATGAGCTACACTTGGTAGGTACAAGCAGATAAAGCAACTTGATATTTTCTTTCCTTTCAAATATGCTATGTTGACTCTTTCTCTTCTCCTGTGGATAACTCAGGCAGATACGATAGCTTTTCTGATCATTAAGAAATATGACAGTCTCATTTTTAGGCAATAAGAAGTCTAGTTCAATCTAAATCAAAACTTTAATTTCTCATTTAATTTAACATATCTATGCTCTTCCCAGCTTGGGTCTGGTTCAAGCTCAAAAACCTAGAATCCTGAAGTCCTTCCTCTTGTGGCTTACAGTGGGGCGGGTGGGGAAGTAGCAAGAAATGGGTAGCTCTCCAGCAAATCTCTCTGGGTGCCTGATCAATCTCTGTCTTCTCTTGTATATCCTGGATGTGGGTAATGGGCCAAGGGTCACAATACTGGTTTGCGGACACCTGTTAGCAAGTTTATAGGATGGTCTGTTATCTCTTTATAGAATGTGCACTCACTTGCATTCATTGCTCTCAACCACACTTTGGAGCCCAGAAAGTCCAATTTTACATCTTCTTAGGTTGGCATTGTAGCAGCCTGGAGGTCCTTGGCCACTGCGGCAGCACAGTGGTGCCTGAGGTCAGTGCTGCCGTTGCTGGTCCTGCAGGATTTCATAGGATGCGGAGGTAAAGCACAAGTATTTATGTAAGGCAATGTTAGGGTCAGCCCTGACTACTCCACACCCTATGTAGGCCTAAACTCCCCAAGGTTGTTCTTTAACCCAGCATTGTTTAGTGCACACACTGGTGTGTGTGTACACACGTGCAGACATTTTCCTAAAGGCATCTTCACGGGTCCAGGGTATAAGAAGTGGATTTCTGACACCAGCCAGGTACTAGTAACAGTAAGCCTACTGTAATAAAAAGTCCTAACACTTAGGTGCCTTAGAGAACAAAGAATTATATTTTTTTTCTCTCAAGGGATAAGCCTTAGTGTGAACAGTTTAGATTGATGGGGCAGCTTATTTTCTTGAGGTCATTTAGAGACTGTCATGGATTGAATTGTGTCCCCCCAAAATATATGTCAACTTGGCTGAGCCATGATTCCTAGTATTGTGTGGTTGTCCTCCATTTTGTGATCTAATTGTCCTCCATTTTGTAACGTGTTGTAAATCCTAGCCCCTATGCCTGTGTTTATGGTCCATTTGGCAGTGAGCTGTCCATTATGTTAATGAGGCAGGATTAGGTCATGATAATGAGGGTTAGGGTGGGATGCAACACCCTTACTCAGGTCACAGCCCTGATCTGATATAAGGGGAGTTTCCCTGGGGTGTGGTCTACATCACCTTATATCTTATAAGAGATAAAAGGAGAGAGAAGTGAGCAGAAAGGGAGGGACCTCAGTACCACCAAGAAAGAAGAGTGAGAAGTAAGCTTGTCCTTTGGACCTAGGGTCTCTGCGCTGAGAACCTCCTAGGCCCAGAGGAAGATTGATACCAAGATACATGGAGATCCCCAAGGAATGCTGGGCCCACAGATGTTGAAAGGAGACAAAGACTTTCCCCCAGAGTCAACAGAGAAAGAAAGCCTTCCCCGAGAGCTGGGACCATGAATTCTGACTTCTAACCTCCTAAACTGTGAGAGAATAAATTTATGTTTGTTAAAGCCATCCACTTGTGTTATTTCTGTTATAGCAGCACTAGATAACTAAGACAGGGACCGTGGTTCCTTCCAAGTTGTTTGGCCATTTTCTAGGTCACTGTCATCATTTGTATTGTTGAAGCAGGGTTGCTATCTCATCTAGATTCCAAATGGTGGGTTGGGGAAGAGAACATGAAGGTCCAAAGCTCCAGATCTGGAAGTGTGCACATCACTTATGCTCACATGGCATTGTTGAGAATTTGGTCATTGTCATGGATTCAGTTGTGTCCCCAAGAAATATCTGTCAACTTGGCTACGTCATGATTCCCAGTATGATGTGTCTACCATTTTGTAATCTGAGGTGATTTCCCTATGTGTTGTAAATCCTATCACTATGAAGTAATAAAATGGATTAGCAGCAGTTATATTAATGAAATCTACAAGATTAGATAGTGTCTTAAGCCAGTCTCTTTTGAGATATAAAGGAGAGAAGCAAGCAGAGACACATGGGAACTTCATCCCAGCAAGAAAGCAGCGCCCAGAACAGAGTGCGCCCTTTGGACCTGGGGTTCCTGCACAAAGAAGCTCCTAGTCCAGGGGAAGATTGACGACAAGGACCTTCCTTCAGAGGTGACGAAGAAAGCCTTCCCCTGGAGCTGATGCCCTGAATTTGGACTTGTGGCCTACTAGACTGTGAGAGAATAAATTTCTCTTCGTTAAAGCCATCCACTTGTGGTATTTCTGTTATAGCCACACTAGATGACCAAGACAATCATGATCTAATTGCAAGGAAGGCTGGGAAATATAGTGCAGCTGGGCAGCCAGATGCATGGCTACAATTCTATT